TGAGTGGGTTCCTGGTTCGGCCAAGTTTGGGTTGATAACCAACTCGGCCTCAAGCATCCTAACAGATACTCGGTTTGGGCTAAACTTATTCAACTAATGGGTTGAAAATCATGCTTATAATTCTTGTCTTCTCTTTTAAGATACATTGGTTCAAATTTCAATACTTGTCTATTTTTTATAAAGAAATAAGTTTAATAATTGTGAAGAAAAATACGTCATTCATATTTTGGATCTCGTTGTATGAATTGAAAATAGGATAATATTTTTCTCATTCCAATCTTATATATTGTATTGTGTGTAGATGTTAAGACGTACACATATGTCATTGTCCTAGAAATTCATTAACATTTCAAAAAATGGTGAAATGAACCAATAATTAAACCCAATCTCGTACAATGATCATTGGATCTAATCACACCGAATTAGGAACATGTTTAAAACTTAGTGGTTAACCCAACTTAAACGTTAGAAAACCCCTCTCATATAGTCTACACAACAATATGATTTCTTCATAGTAATTCTAAAAATTAATACAAAAATAAAATTTTGACATTGCTTCGACCTATTTAATACTCCAATTTGATATGCATCCAAGTTATATTTGGGTTGCAATTTTAAAGTTATCCACTATTTGGCTAGCTAACCGTTGTAAAAGTCCTATGATTTTCAGATGTTAGGTTTGTGTATGTTTTTCTTTTAAAAGATACAACAAATATATGTAGTGTGATTGGTTGTAGCTCTTCCCTCTCTTTAAAGTGGTCATGGTTTAAATCACCATTAGTATCCCTTTTTATAAATAAATAAGAAAGAAATAAGTAGTTGTGAAGACAAAATTGTCCTTCCTACATTCATTCTCGATGCAGGAAATTTGAAATGGAGCAATGGGTTTTGGCTTTCACCTTTAATAATACTAGCTTATAACCCGGCCCGTTGGCCGGAATGTTCATATTTTAATATTTATATTTTTATGTTATGTTTAAGTCTATTAATTTGTTTAAGTTTATTGAAAATCATTCAATCGAGTTGCTACATAAAGAATGAATATATAGGTCGAACATTCAGGGAAATACCCTACTCATTTAAGTATATAAAAATGTATCATTAATCCCATTTTCATAATCATAATTGAGCCCCCATTAAAATGATATTGGTTAATTGATTGTCCATAAATATATTATATAAAAGCTCATTGGAATTCCCACACAATCTATAGATAGTTTGAAACTGAAATGAAACCTCACAATCCCACATAAATGGCTCAAAGCTCTCCTCTATGAATAACATGCCACTAATAAAAAAGAAATAGATTTATAAAAAAAAACAGAAATGAAGAGTTGTTGATTCAAGTAAATCATATGCTAACAACTCAACTAAAAGGAGACCATCAAAACTTGAGAGCAAATGACAAAATTAGAGTTACATCCAATATACTAATAGACTCGATCAAAGTAATGAGGCACAAAATTAGACACTCCTTATCTACAGGTTCCAGTAGTTTGAATAGTGAATTGACCTTAACTTTAGTAAATCAATCAATGATTCCTCGTTTTAACATAAACATAGGTTGTGCTAGTTGCAACAATCATAACACCTAAAGATCCAATAGTTTCCACTCTTCGTTGTACAACCAACTTTGTATCCCCTCCATCTTCAATCTCTCGACATATATGTTTTAAACCAAAATTCAATTTCATAACTCCTTCTGCAACTGCATATGCTACTTTGTTGGACCTTCTCTCCATGAACCTGAATTTCTCTTTGAATTGAGTTTCTTGTCAGCTTGATCCCCAACTCCTCAATCCTCTTTCTTGTATTTGGCCAACTCATCTTCCTCGGGGCAGTTTTAATAAACTCGTAAAAGCAACACTCATCTTAAATTACATCAATATGCTCTTCTCCTTCTCTGCATTCACCTGATCCAGTTCACTTCAATGCCCTTCTATACCCTTTCCATTTTTCATCAATATCCTTATCATCTACCCCTTTTCTCTCTTCAAATGCTCCGATTTTGCTTCTATGTCTTACAATACCCTCCTTGGTTCAATCACTACCCACACCAACTGCCTCTTCACTACCTTCACTTGCTGCAAACTACTTCCGTGACTTTTTATACACTTTCCTCAAAATCACAATCAACTAACCAATATCAATCCATGGCCTTGGATCAATTTTAAACTCTCTATGAACATCTCAATACCACAGTATAAATCTAAATATTCTTTCAGTTAATCATGAACTTGAGTTTATCAAAATCTAATCCACTCCTTCTAAGTTGGAATTCCCATCCCCCAAGCTCATTTTTGGTTCATTTGATCCCACATAATCATGATATTATACCTCTAACTAATATAAATCAAAGCATTTTACGAAAAGAAACTGAACCATGAACTTTAACTGCTACCAAATCCAAACACAATTTCTTCCTCTCACCACTTCCCTTTCCAAACCAAACATCAACTTTTACTCCAAGTTCACACCTCCAACTCCCAGTGTGTTGCGTGAAAGCTTAATTTTAGCAATCATTATGCTTGCAATTAGATTAATGGACACCAGCAAGGGCCAAAATTCCACCAAACGATGAGTTGTCTTCACTTTGAGTTTTTTCATAAAACTGTTGGCCCGATATGCTTATCAGTTTGGAGGCCATATGATGAGCAATACTGGTCACAGTAATGACAATGTGAAACATGTGTTAACAAACTCGAATATTACTTTTATGGATTGACATTAGAATGATGGGATTGGACAATGAGATCGTCCTTAGTTAAGCGACATGTAAATTGGTTCATTTGGTATGGAGGACACAAACCGTTAAAATTCTAAATTATTTGGGTGAGTTTGTATTTAGTGTTTTCAAAATCGTGGTATATGAGTTAGGTGATTAAAATATCTAAACCCAAACGAACCGACCCACGTACACCCCTAAGAAGATTTTTAAAACTTAGTATTTAACGGACAAAAATGTTTAGAGAACCAGTCCCCTATAGTTTGCACAAAGATATGATTGCTTCACCTAGTTCTGGAAATTAATGGTAATTTAAGAATTCTATATCGCTTCTACATATTCAATACTATAATTCGATATGAAATATTTGAACCAACAATATAAGATAGATAAAATTTTAAATTAAGTATTAAACTATAATTAAAATAAAAAATATCAAAATCAAAGTATCAAAACATCAAATAAGTACTTACGGAATATTTATTGGGCTAGCTAACTGTTGAAAAGTTATGTGATTTCATATTTTAGCTTCGTATATATTTTTAATTTAAAAGCATACAACAAATCTATATAGTCTGATTGATTTTAAACCTTCACTTTGTTTGAAGTGACCATGGTTCAAATCTCAATAAGTCTATCTTTTTCTATAAATAAATAAAAAAATATAGATAATTGTGAAGACAAAAATGTCCTTCCTAATTTCTCTCTCATTGTAGGAAATTTGAAAAGGGAGATTAAGTTTCAAATAATTAAATCATATACCCTAAATCAATAAAACTTAAACCCTAATATCACATATCTAAGAACATAATCAATGATTCTGATTCGCCAAGATGTATACAACATACCATATGCACTATATTAGGATTTAGAGAATTATGATACAGGGTTTAGTTACGTGATTAATCTATGATCTAGATAATGTTATTTAACTAAGGAGAAGCAATAACCCTCAATCCATCGAGCGTACCATAGAATTTCCAATGTATATACACATACCATTGTCTGTTAAATTTAGCCAATGATGATTGGCTCATTTGTCAATGGTATTTAGTCTTTCAATTCTATGCTTATAAATGTCAACCATTAGGAAAATTGTTAGCCAATGATTTTTGGTCATTCACTTATAGCATTGAAAATGTCTCGTTACAAAACCATAGATCACAAATGTCAAATTTTATATTTTGAAATAAAATTTGGTTTAATAAACTTGTATATCCAAAACTTTCATGGTTGTGCCAATAATATCCAAATTTCCCGAAATACCACTTATATCCATGTTTTAAAGTTGTTCTTTGCCAAATCTATCCATTTCCCAATATATTTTTGGTTAAATACACTTTTATATCCTAAAACACATTTAAAGAATGTGAACGAATTGGATATAAGTGGTATTTCTAGAAATATGGATATTATTGGCACAACCGTGAAAGTTTTGGATATACAAGTGTATTTAACCATAAAATTTTGTATAGCACTTTGTAAACAATACTTGTATTCCTACAAACTACAAAGTCATGTAACCTAATAAATTTAAAAGTTGTAAGACATACATAATTTACTATTTGATTCTTGGTGAAGAATTGTGTGATTAGAGGAACTCACTTAGTTGATTCATAAAGCTAGGCATATCATGATGATTCACTTTGTAAATAATTACAGTTATTAATTAATTCGATGATTGATTGTCGCGGTGGATAGTCCTACGATTTTGAGATATTTTAGTATCTCTCTTTAATTCAAAAAATACTTAAACATTGTTGTAGTCCAGTTGGTTAGGGATATTAACTATCAAGCTGAAGGACTCGAGTTCAAGTCTTTGTAATGACATTTTTTTTCTCGTAAGAAGATTTTTAAGTTCTAAGTTGAACTTACAAATTTCAATTTCGTTATGGTACACACACAGTGATCTGTGTGCACCAACTCACAGCCCAGGGAGAGGGCCACGTCGCCCAAGCCAGCAATGGACGACCATAATTGATCGGCTGGGGCACGGGCTCAGGGAAGGAGGCGAGCCGCGCTTGAGCTGTGGGGAAGCCGAGCTGAAGGTACTGGTGGGGCCGAGGAGTGAGAGATGGGTGGGGTCTGGGCAGGTTTTTGGGTGTTTTGGCAGGATTTTTGGCCAAAAATCCAGCCCCCAAAAAACCCTTCATTAATGCCTCACCTACCAACTTCTCTCTCTCTCTGCAATCTCACACCTCTCTTCTTCCTCATCTTTTCTATCTGTCCGGCATTAAAGACCAGGATCCAGAAAAACGCAGGAAGGGGAGGTCTAATGCAAGATCGCTCCTTCGAAGAGAAGGAGATGGAAGGAAGGGAAGATAGTGTGTCGAAGATGGGGGATGATGTCGAAGGAAATGCCGCACCAGAAGAGGAGTTGCACCTTGAAGATCTTTCGACTGAAAACGATAAATGTAATGTCGAAGGAGACGAACCAGAAGAGGTGGACATTGCTGATACCATCCTCAAAGCGGATGGTTCATCTGATGGTTTGTGGGGCTCGCAAGAGTGGATGGCCGCAGTTGATGAAATTGAAGGGGGTATGTGAAGCAGACCAAAAAAACACATCCATTTAAACTTATATATGTTTTGGTTGTTGATCATCATTGAATGTGTTAGGGTTTACATTTATGGTGCTTGCATTTATTATGTTTTAGGGTTCCTTCATTGCATTGTGTTATGTTCTTGCATGAATACTTGGTCGTTCTATCGTAAATATCACTGGTGGAGAAACATAAACATGAATATCGCTTGCGTGAATACTAGTTAGCGGTAATGACCATATTACTTTTTAAATTTCATGAATATTACTTTTACGTCATCGAATATTAGTTGGTACATATTCATCTTCAATATGCATCTTCAAAAGAATATTGAAGATGAATACGGTTCATCTTTATAAGAATATTGTTCACCTTCTAATGAATACAAATTCATCTTGAAAAGAATATTCATTGACCTTTTAATGAATATGCGTTCATCTTTTAAAGAATATGAATTTACATTCTAATGAATATTTGTTGACATTCTAAAGAATATTCTTTGACATTGTAATGAATATTCGTTGACATTCTAATGAATATTAGTTGACATTCTACTGAATATTCGTTGGCATTGTAATGAGTATTCGTTGACATTGTAACGAATATTAATTGACATTGTAACGAATATTCGTTGACATTCTAATGAATATTAGTTGACATTCTACTGAATATTCGTTGACATTGTAACGAATATTAATTGACATTGTAACGAATATTCGTTGACATTCTAATAAATATGCATTCATCTTTTAAAGAATATGCATTTACATTCTAATGAATATTCGTTGACATACATTCTACTGAATAGTCGTTGACATTCTAATGAATATTCTTTGACATTCTAATGAATATTCGTGGACGTTGTAATGAATATTCGTTGACATTGTAACGAATATTAATTGACATTGTAACGAATATTCGTTGACATTCTAATGAATATTAGTTGACATAGTATTGAATTATTTTATTGGTTGGATTTGAGTAATTATATTCATTTGTGCAATTCCAATGACATGCTATGCAACACTAGAAGATGAGTGCTTAAGGAAGAACTTGCAATTCAATACAGTAGATGATTGCAAGGGCTTCTATTCAAGATATGGTCATGACCAAGATTTTGGTGTTCGAGTATACAACGAACATACGAGGTTGCGCAAGAACAACAAGGGAGAGCTTGAGGAAAAGTATTGGTACCTTTATTATTGTTGCAACAAACAAGGCTTTTCGAAGGTGAGTACTAGAAATCCAAAGGTCATTAAGAAACGAAAGGAGGATAGTGTCATTGTTAAAACCCAGCGTAAAAGAAAAAGAAATGAGTTAAGGGTTGGGTGTACAGCTCGTGTTGCCTTTCGGTGGGATGTAGATAGGAATGCATTCGTGGTTAGTCATTTCAACAATATAAACAATCATGAACTGCACTCAAAGGAGCATGCGCAGTTTTTGAGGTCTAACAAAAGTGTTAGTGAGGCTGAAGGTTTGATGGTTGAAGCCAATGCAGATGCTAGTGTTAGTTTGAGCTCTTCTTACAAGCTACTTGCTATGTGTGCTGGTGGTTACGAAAATCTTAGCTACTCGAAGAATAACCAAAAGAACCATCCGAACAAGCGAAGACAGAAGAACAAGGCACATGGTGAAGCAACTTTTTTGTTGGAGTACTTTCAGAAGCAAATGGAAATGAAACCTGGATTTTATTATCCGTGGAAGTTGATTGTGATGAGCAAGTTGCTAACATATTATGGTCGGATGCCCAGATGCGTGCTGATTATAAATTGTTTGGTGACTCGATCTCTTTCGACACAACTTATCGTACGAACAAAGCCTATCGCCCATTGTGTACATGTTTTCTTCTGTTGTTTGCATATAATTTTCTATTCAAATACATTTTGTGATAGTCATGATAGCTTGAATACTCGTCCGAATTTTTTGAATACAAGTCTGGAATGTATGAATATTGCCAAAGCACTTCGTAATGAGTGGCCCGGTGTCTTCCATGCATTATGTACGTGGCTCATTTTAATGAATGCGAAGAAGAATTTTAAGAAGGACAATGATGTTTGGAAAAAAGCTAAGCATTCACCTCACTTACTTATTCAACACGGTTGATAGTGAGGCTGAATTCGACATTGCATGGAAGGACATGCTCGGTGAATGCTTCCCCGACAGTGACTTTGTGGATGGCGACCCATGGTTGCAGTATCTGCTAGGCTTCCGGAAACAGTGGTCTTCATGTTGGCTTAGAAGTCAATTCACCGCTGGTATGTTGACAACTCAGGACAGCGAATCCTACAATGCATCGGTGCGATATTTTCTGAAACCAAACCATAAGCTGGATCAGTTTTTCATACATTTTAACAGGTGTGATGTTATTGTTTTCGGAAATACTACATGCAATATTATTGAATATGCTCTACAGTAGTTTTGAATATTAATTTGTATGTTTTGAATTGCAGTTTGGTAGAGTATAAAAGATACAAGGAGATGACTCTTGACTTTGAATCCATTGATCAGGTTCCTGCCATCTCCTCGCCATTCAGCAAGATCCTCAAGCAAGCTGCTGAGATTTACACTCCTCTCATGTATAGAAGGGTGGAATAACAATATCAACAAATGGAAGAGTACGAATTGGAGCGGCACTACAATGGTAGGGACGACGGATTTATTGGGTACAAAACATTCTACACCAATAATGACGTCTGTTGGGATGAACGTGATGTTTTTGTTGATGTGGCAAATGCACGGCTAGAATGTGGTTGTAGGCTGTTATTCCATAGGAATTATATGTCGCAACATCCTCAAGGTGATGGTACACCTTGGAAATTTTGGCAATGCCACCATGAAAACCCTGCCAGATCATTTTATATTGAAGAGATGGACCATACATGCCAAGAAGAAAGAGGTCGGTGAATCCACCACAAGTGCCAGGACGGATGAGGATCCATACACTACCAACATCGCATGTAACACCACAACATTGAGATATAGAGAAACCACTGCCATGTTGAATAAGCTTGCCAAAAAACTGTCTGTTGCTGATGATGGAGTGTATGAGAAGTGGATGAAAGCACTATCTAAAATGTGCAAGTCGGCAGACCATGCCTTGTCCCGATCCATAACAAGTGAAACCGGTAAGCATCAAATCAGAATATTAATTACTGTTGCATTGAATAGTACATACTTTACTACTGAATATTACATACTTTACTACTGACTATGACTTGTTTTATATCAGGGGGGTCTCAACCATTAAATGGCCTGACCATGAAGCAAAAGGTTAATCCACGGAGTCATGGCGTGAAAGGTACATGTCCAGAAATGAGAAAGCCCGTGGTAAGAAGAAGATTCAGTATGCCAAGCAACTAAAGGACTTGGAGATTTTGTCGCAAGTTCCCGATACTCAACGTGGAAGGCCAAACATGGATGACGAAGAGGACCTCATGGATCTGCTTACATCGTAGTTGGTTAGATATGCCTTTTTGGGAAACCAATTGTGATATGATTTGTTATACGATAACATATCATACTGCAATTGGTTGAACTAATATTCAGGTCCTTGGGAGCTTCTATTTAGCAGCATGAAACGTTATTTTGTAGTAATATGCACATTCTTCTGATGGCATATTACATTCGTTGGGAGCTATATCCTGGGTGAAACGTTATTTTGTACTAATATTCAGGGTCTAGCGAGGTTCTAACATTTTGTACTAATATGCACATTCTTCTGATGGCATTTTCAAACACGTCGAAAGTATAATTCAAATAACCCAGAGTCATATTCATAAAAACCAGAGTCATATTCAAATTACCCAAACACTGAGGAGGTCCAAAGCTATAACATATTGGTTTAAGTTCATAGACATTTAGTACTTCAAAAGATCAAACAGAGATGTAGGTGGTAGGTAGATCGCCAGAGTAGATGCCATATCTTGGTAATTTTTAGAAAGCCGATGGGTGCCATAGCGTGGTAACGCGGATGTGTGGGGATGTATGTTCGTCTGCACTTGCGATGTAAACTTCTGCAGCAAATGGCCTGTTGCAGCGAGCCCATATGAGAGCCTTTGCTTCTTGGAGGGGCTTTGTGTAGAACTCTTCTGGCGCCATTTGAACCAGCGACATCGTGGCCTCATGATTGAATGTCACCTCGACGCGCGTACGGCAATATGCGCACTCGGCACGCAACTCATAATGCAGACTAGCGTAAGATCTTGGTCATGTGTTGTCTTACAAAGCAAAAGTGAGGATAAATTTAATGTTTGAAAAAAGTTTTTATGTGCTCATTCTGGGTATTCTGGTGTTGTCTTGCAAATGCCACGGCCATAGGTGAACGCAGTGATCTCCAACATGCAGCGATAGAGGACCTTAATAAAAATAGCATTGTTCAGGCTTTTGGTCCCAAAAAATTACATAGTGTGGCAACATATTATGTGTAAAAAGGAGTCTGGAAATGTACCTCATGACGATGCGGGTGAAGTGCCAGATCTGTTCGTAGTTCTCCGAGCGTTTTTCTCGGCGGGCGTTGGCCACGCAAGAATCCAACACGATGTCCAGTATCTTTGTCAATGTAAGTAACTAGCCTACGGTTTCCAACAAATCTAAAGTGCAGGTCGGAAATTATTGCAGTGCGTACATTTTCAATGTAAAAGGTGTTAGGAAAACAAAGGAATAGAAACAATACTGCTATTTAGATGTAACTATTAATGACATATGCATGTTGGTGATTATATGAAGCAATGATCAGTCGACTTGCTGGTGAGGATTTGAATTCATAAGGAGCATCATCTCCGAACACAGCAGGGAGCCTTGTCACTGCAGCGATCGTAGTTATCAGGGGGAGACGGAATTCTGCACCCGGTGCATAGGTAAGAGTTGTAATGAATATTCGTTGACTTTGTAACAAATATTAATTGACATTGTAACGAATATTCGTTGACATTCTAATGACTATTAGTTGACTTAGTATTGAATTCTTTTACTGGTTGGATTTGACTAATTGTATTCATTTGTGCAA